CGTTTGTGCAACGTCTTATTGTTTTAAGTTTTAATATGTTTTTTTATTCCATGGCATGCACAATATTGTAAAATTAAAATAATGCTTATCATTAAATGGACATTTATTTTAAATTGTATCATCCTTTAAATTGCATCACAAACAAATGCAAATTGAAGAAATTGATTATGTTGATTCGATACGTTTTCAATTACTAACAAATTGATTTGTTATTTTTAGAAGTCAATTTACATAGACGACCACGTATTAATTTGTTGTCATTCTCATACTTACAATATCGCTTAAGACAGACATTAAATTAAATCGTGTTCCTAATCTATCAAATTGAATCTTTGAGACCTATTATATTAACAATTTGTTGACAAGGTATCTGCTTTATTTTGCGTTGCAATATAAAACCAGTCTTTGTATTTAAATTGTCTTTAAAGTGAAAGTGACTCTGTTAATTTGATATCTCAGCTAGTATGTATATTATTTTGTACTTTTAATAAATGGCGGGCCTGTGTTCCTGTTATCATAGCAAATAAGCAGTGAGTCAGCTACAGTATCTACATGTTATTGGTACAATAATCACTTTTAATGATTGTGCATACTTTATACTTATTTGAAATAGTTTCATGACTATATTTTGACAGATAGGATTTATCTTAGTTATAGTTAAACATACCTCGTGTACCTATTAAATTGATTTTTTGTTTCAAACTGCAACATATAAATCATAAAGTTGCTTTTTTCTTTAACGATTGGTGCCCAAATGACACAGGAATCCTTATTATATGTACTTGCATCAAAATGATAAATAAAAAGGGTAAAACTGTTTTAAGGTTTCTTCTTGTACCTGAGATTTTGTAATTAACTTTACCAGTTCAAAGTACACAAATATGTTTGATTTGAAATTCAATACAGAAACATGTAAATTTTAACTTTGTTGGTCCAAACAATAACATTAAATTTTACTCATCGCCAGCATTTAGAAAATTTCAATTTGTTTAATAAACAAACCTTTCCATCCAATTATTTGATACAAGCATTAAATTGGTACACATTCACATCACAACCGATTTTATATGATGTAAATTTGAGTAATGTTAAGTTATACTACCTGCTGTTAAGATTAGAAAAGTGCATATGCGTTAACTCAAACAACTATTTTACCATGTAATGAATATATAAAAAATTGTATCACAGTGATGGTATTTATGAAGGGAAAACAACATAATCATTTCAAAACCGAGATAAATCACACGTCAAAAGTACTAACCGGAAATGGGATTAAATGTTTAAATCAGGTTATCTAATGACAGTTGTCTTTTGAGACCTGATAACAATTTATAAACACTTTAAAGTCGCTACCATATCACCCATGTGATTCTTCTGAGACAAAATGTCGCATTAATCTGACAAGCGATATTGATGTTCAATTGACAGTTTAATGATTGTTGCCATATAATACATCTGTTGATGTCTCAGAATGACACTTTCAGTATAATAACACAAATAAATCATGTTAAATTTGAGACGAATTCCACAGGTCTTAATTAGTAATGATATTACTTAAGCTTTAATTCATGAACTTCATTAAATATAAAGACACATGTTTCTCTACTTCCTTCTTTATTTTTTTATATTATTAGTATACACATTTGAAATTTGCCTTAAATAATTGTTACTTTTCATACTTTCATTTGTTATTGCAAAAACAGAAACTACATTTAAATTGAAATTTGTCAAACTGCTATCTAGTTGTCATTCAAATGCTTGAATGGCTGTAACGGATTATTTTATTCATTTTATTTATTGAGAAATGCACTTATGGCAAAGGGTTGGTTATCTCGAAATTTGCGCAATAAATATACTTTTATATCGTCGGTAAGTTAACATTTTCCCCTGGCAAAATGGAATTTAGAATATAACTGTCACAGGGTCATTTTGTCTTTGCTAGAATACTCTGTAATTCATACCCATACTCTATATCATTCCCCTATCGTCTCTTTTTCAATCATTCATATCATTATCCAACTTCATACTAATAACTTCATTTGACCTGTAACACGTTGACGGGCCTCATTCACTTCATTTTTGAATTCGGTCACGCTCACCTTCACGCATGCGCACAAGTAATGAGAACTTTTAGCGAGAGCTGTTGTTTTTCATTGACTCCGTATTTCTATCTAATTGTGTGCCAACAATATATTTACAGGTATATTTGAGGTTATAAAACATTGTAAACATGAATTACTATGATATGTGTATGTATTTCACTTGGAATTATCAATAGCACAAGAAATGAGAACTTTTAGCGAGAGCTGTTGTTTTTCATTGACTCCGTATTTCTATCTTATTGTGTGCCTACAAGATATTTACAGGTTCCTCTTTGAACGCCCAATCCTCCCGAGTGAGAACTCACGTATATCCGTGACATTTGGTGGCCAGTGTTACATTTGGGACGTTTTGGTGCGAAAAAGTTGAGGACGAACTCAGTTCGGGTGGATTGTCTCCCCGCTTGTATCAGCCAATGAGAATTGGGAAACCCTTCTTACTTCACATTGTGAATGTCAACAAGGAATTCCGTCCATCATGTTGTATCGAAAATTTTATATTTTGTTTTAACAATCAAATGAAAGCTTTCTAAAGTAAATATAGGCCTCTTTAGTTAATATACAGTACTCTACATTGAAACACTAGTGTATAAACTCAACAGACCAGGATTTCTTTATTTTTCAACGTTGGATTCTACCTCTGGACATTTTGTTTACATTTTTATTGGAAGGAGATTACAGTGATAAACATTGACTTGAATGACATTAATAAGTGATTTAACCTTTAGATAGATTGAAATATATAAAATTTCCTAAAATCTTTTGTAGTTACCATCTAAGTATTGTTCATTGTATATTTTTCTTCACTGTCATAGATTTCTACAGTTATTGTTTATATTTGACAGGTTGTTTGGCATTGAAGTTGTGTGTTTTGTGTGGAAGTCAACCTTGGCATTGAGCACTACATTAATAGATTAACAGATTTCATTGCATTAATACATTTTCATTTTGGTAACTGGTGATTGGTGAGATAATCCTTTCATATCTTTCTTCTGGTCCCTGATACTATACTCTAGAAGCCATTTCTTTCCATTTTACCATCTGTATTGTCTTATTATTACTATACTCCTGTAAAACATCCCCGCTTTAACAGTCCACTTTATTGAAAAGCTTGTGACATACTTTTGTACTATTACCTGATTTAAAAAAAAGAAGAAAAAAAAAAAGAATTTCATCTTTGGAAGAAATTTAATTTTGACAGCTTTATTAATTTATTAATCTTTTGGCGGCTCACGTACACTTCATAAAATTTATGAGTCTTTGGAAAATGTTTTGTATTAGGTGCCTGAATATGAAAAAGTCAATAATGTAGTCCTGTAGTGTAATGATAGTTTAGTTCAACTTGTTGGTACTTCTGTCATAACAGTGAAAGCCAAATAAATATCAAAATACAAGAAATACTATAAAGTAATTGACATTTTATCACAGGGATTAGATACTCCTTTGATAACATCTCTTGTATTACTTAAATATTCGGACCAGGTATTATAGTGTGGTACAATTGAATCTTTGTTGTAGTGAATTTTACAGTCCTTGTTTAGCCAGGAAAGTACATGAAACATTGTGCTCTAGTTTGAATTAAATCAAGTGGTTATTGTAGACATTTTGGTTTAGCAGTCATATGAAAGTAGTGTGTGCTTATATTGTCTTCATTGTTATTTGAATTTCCCTTGTAAATTGTTTGGTAGATGAAATCCATTCAATTTTATTACAAGTTGGATATAGTACTGGACTTGATATTTATATATTGCATACATTCTAACATTGGAAAACTATAGAAGTTAGTACAGTGTAAAGGAATTACCAGCATTGAATATAGTGATTGCATTTACAGACATTTAATTGGTGCACATAAAAGCTGCAAGTTTGAAAGTTTATTTATGTGTTATTTATTTTGTTTGTTAAAAAAAAATTCTATGGTGTACAATACGGGACATCATTTTTGTGTGTTTTAATTATTCATTTACTAAAGGCCTGAATTGTCTTTGGAAAATAAAATTCATCTGGTGTGTAAATTCTGCTAGATATACATATTACCATTACAAATTTCAGTTGCCATATTTGTGTATGGTGTACAATGTATGCCATCTTGTGAACAAAAATTTTGTTTGGGTATTACTTTGAGTTTATCTATTTTCATTTGAAAGTTTTTATTTGGAATAATATTTCAAGTAAAAAGTGCCCTTCATTTTATTTATTTTGAAAAGTCTAAGTTGTTGTTGTTGATTCATTGACACGTTATGTCAGTAATTATCAATATGGATAATGACGATACCACACCTAAAGGAAAAGATAGTCGTGATGAGTTAGATCTTGAGTATTGTTTGAGACGTGTTTTGAGTTCTGGTTATATTGTTGATACAGTTCACTCTCCACTGATGCTGATCCTGATACACATACACCTATTAGGGAGTACCGACATAGACATCGTGATCGTTCTCCTCCTGTGTGATCTCCTCATAGGTTGCATTCTATTCATGAAAGTGCCCCGTCACTCTTTGTTGATAGGCGTCAGAGTCGTGTTTCTTTTCGTCCTGATTTCGATTCCACCCCTCTTGGCTCAAGTTTGCCCAGAAAATCTGATTATTATGCAGGCCTGAGTTTGAAGGATTATCACAGTCCTTTCCCAGATCTGCTTCTCTCCCACAGCATGATTTTTATAGCAGCCCTTACAATTTTCCACCATAGAGACTTCCTAAATTACCTCAGTTTTCAGGGGAATTGAAGAAAGAAGATGTAGAATTTGTCGTTTGGAAGTATGAAGTCAACTGTATTCTCAAAAGCGGTTTGTATTCTGAACATTCCATTTTGGAGTCGATTCGGCGTAGTCTGCGTGGGAAGGCCAGATCAGTTTTGTTACATCTTGGGGAGTGGGCGACTGTGGATTAAATCGTTCGAGAAATGGATGCAACTTATGGTAACGTGGCATCTACAGAGAGGCTGAAAGAGCAATTCTACTCTGCAAGTAAATGGGAGGGTGAATCAATTGTTGACTATAGTCTTCGATTGGAGTATCTTCTTGTTGATTCCCAAATCACGCTTGATAGAAAGACACGTGATGACATGTTGAGGAACAGATTGTGGTCTGGATTAAGGAACCAGGATTTGAAGAACGCCACTAGGTACAAGTTTGAGGCGGAACTTGATTATACAAGGTTTAGGCGAGAGTTGCGACTTGTTGAAGAGGAGATGAAGTTGGCTCAACAAGGAGTGAAATCATCAGGTATCTCTTCCAGGGATAAATATTCTACTTCTTCTTTTCCTTCTAATTCTTCCGACAGGTCCAAAGAGCAAGATGTCAGACAGTGTAGCACCTCTGTGGAATCCAAAATTTTACAGGAGTTACAGGATGTTACTGCTCAGTTGAAGACATTGAACAGCAGAGTCACTCGCATTGAAAGAGACCTTGATGATGTCAAGAAGAATAGGTATAGGTCAGATGGGAACCGATGGCGAGGTAGAGGTACTGACATCCGAAGTCAAGAGACAGAGCCGCAACCACCATCAAGTTCTAACTCTGCTACCCCATCCAAGACAGATAAGCCTTTAAACCAGCAGGCTCCTCCACCAAAGGGCCAGTAGGAGGACCGCCCAGTCAGAGAGGCCCACCAAGTATCCCTTTGGTTGGACATTCCAATGAAACAGATGTTCTTGTTAATGGATGCCCTGCTACAGCACTTTTAGACTCTGGTACTATGGTCACAACTCTTGCTCATTCTTACTTTTCATCTTTAGATCCTTGTCCAGAGCTGTTGAGTATTTCTGATTTCTGTGTCAAAGGAGAAAATGATTCATCTATTCCTTATATTGGTTATTCTATCCTGGATATTTCTGTTCCATGTCTTTCTTCAGATTCTGTTGTCTCTGTTCCTGTGTTGTTAGTACCTGATACTTCTTATTTCAAATAGATAAATACAGAATCCCTACAGAAAGACCAACACGGCAAAATTGAAAATGTTGCAGGCTCTATACCTATATATATTCCAAGTCTATACCTCTTTATTATTGGTACTAATGTTACTAGCCACTACAAGAGATGTTTTACCACACCAGAATCAGTTCCATCTCCATGGGATGAAGTCTTTTCTTCTATTCCGGATAACACTGCAGTTCAGGTGAAGGTTTTTACCACCAGACCTATGTATATACAGCCTTTTCAGGTTTTTACTGTTCCAGGTATTGTTCGTGGAAGTCATTTCATTAGACAGGGTGTTACAGAGGATGATGAGAACTTGCACTCTTTCAATGTTTGCCCTCGCCTTGTTGAAGTTGACCCTAGCCGTTCCTTCTCAGTTTTGGTTCGTATTTGTAACATGAGTGTCGGAACTGTTCGTATCATGCCTAAAAGTTCAATCTGCCTTCTTCAAGATGTGAACGTTGTTCGATCAGTTGACCCCTTGGAAGCCACATCGTCTAATATTGGTGCCAAAGATATGTCTTTGGAAGATTTAGGAGTAGACTTATCCAAGAGCTCTTAATTACAAGATCATCTAAGAGACGCTACACAGTTCCTCGAGAAATGGAAAGGTATATTTTCTACTGGCATCACAGACCTTGGCTGCACTAATCTTGTAGAGCCTGAGATCAACTTGACTGATCCACAGCCTTTCAAGGAGCCCTATCGTCGCATGCCTCCTGGTATGTATGAAGAGGTTCGGGAACATCTTCAAGATATGCTTGCTGCAGGAGCCATCAGGGAATCCAAAAGCCCTTTCTCAAGTAACGTCGTCCTTGTTCGCAAGAAAGACAATTCACTCAGGTTCTGCATAGACTTCAGAAAGCTGAACAGCCGAACAGTTACTGATGCCTACTCACTGCCAAGGATTGATGAGACCATTGATTCCCTCGCAGGTTCCAAAATCTTCAGCAAACTAGACCTACGATCAGGTTACTGGCAAGTTGCCATGAAGGAGTCTGACAAGCCCAAGACTGCTTTTTCGGTCGGCCCACTTGGTTTCTATGAGTGTGAAAGGATGGCATTCGGACTAACCAACGCTCCCGCCACCTTTCAGCGCTTGATGGAAAGATGTATGGGGGAACTTCATCTAAAGGAGTGTTTGATATATTTGGATGACGTCATCGTTTATTCCAAGACGTTAGATGAGCACTTTAAACGACTTGATGCTGTTTTTCAACGCCTCAAGGAAGCTGGTTTGAAGCTTAAAGGCAGCAAGTGTGAGTTTTTTCCTCCCTCGTGTCACATATCTCGGTCATGTTGTTAGTGCTGACGGAGTAGAGACTGACCCAGAGAAGACCAGAGTTTTGAAGGAGTGGCCCGTTCCGAAGTGTCTTAAGGATCTTCGCAGCTTTTTAGGTTTTACCGGCTACTATCGTCGTTTTGTACCAGGTTATGCTAGTATAGCCAAGCCTTTGAATGACCTCCTTGCTGGACACCCGACAAACACTAAAGGTAAGAGTAAGAAGGATGCAGCTACTTGGACTTGGAATTCAGATCAACAAGAGGCATATGAACAGCTCATTGAGAAGTTGACTACCCCTCCTATTCTTGGCTATGCCGATTTTACAAAGCCGTTCATCTTGAACATCGATGCAAGTACTTCCGGTTTAGGAGCGATCCTCTATCAGGAGCAGGACGGTCAAGAACGCGTAATCGCCTACGCCAGCAGAGGGTTACGTATTAATGAGCGAAATTATCCTGCTCATAAGTTAGAGTTTCTTGCGTTGAAATGGGCTGTTGTTGACAAATTTAACGATTATTTGTATGGTAACTCCTTCAAAGTTCGTACAGATAACAACCCATTAACGTATGTGCTCTCTTCCGCCAAACCAGATGCAACTTCACATAGATGGTTAGCTGCGTCAGCATCTTTCAACTTCACCTAACAGTATCGTGCTGGACGTTCAAACATAGATGCAGACTTTCTTTCAAGAGTTCCTAATTCATCTGAAACTATTGTTTTCAATGACGCAGTCAAAGTTATTATACAAGGTTGTATGTATATTAAGGAATCACCTGTTGTTGAATGTATTTCTATGAGTCAGAAAGTCGTTGACATAACTACCTTAGTGATGTTGATTGGAAGCTGGAACAGTCAAAAGATCCTACAATTTCAAGGTTTAAACAGATCTTTTCTACTGGTCATAAACCAACTAGAAGACTTTCTTCACGGGAAACTGAATCTTTTCGTCAATACCTTCGAGAGTGGCCCAGTCTTTTTATCAAGGATGGTATACGTTATCGTCATGGTCAGGTATGTAATCATCCCGTAGATCAGCTTGTTCTGCCGGACTCATTTAAGGATATGGTTTTCACTGGTCTCCATGACAATGCCGGTCATCAGGGTATTGACAGAACCAATTCCCTCATCAAATCTCGTTTCTTTTGGCCAGGTTTGGATGGTTTTGTTGAAACTCGTGTACGGAAGTGTCCTCGTTGTATTCGGCGGAAAACACCTTTGTCAACTTCTGCAGGACTTATTCCAAAAAATATGAAAAACAAGATCAACAAGGAAAGGCGGCGTTCAATGAACGCAATCCATTCTTCTTATCCTCTAGAGTTAGTCTGCATGGACTTTTTGACCTTAGAGATGTCAGCAGGTGGATATAAGAACGTGTTAGTTATCACTGATCACTTTACCCATTATGCACAAGCCATACCGACTGAACCAAACGGCACGCACCACGGCGAAAGCACTTTTTGATAATTTCATTTGTCATTATGGTTTCCCTAGTCGCCTACATAGTGATCAAGGCAGGAATTTTGATGGAGCAGTTATTAAGGAGTTATGTCAGCTTGCTAACATCGCTTAGTCTAGGACTACGCCTTATCATCCCCAGGGTAACGGAATGCCTGAAAGATTCAACCAGACACTTCTGAATATGCTAGGTACTTTGGAAGATAAGAAGAAGCTGAATTGGACAGCTCATGTACCAGCACTTGTACATGCATACAACTCAACTCGGCATGAGACGACAGGTCTGACACCACATTTTCTTATGTTTGGGCGCCATCCTCGCCTTGCATTAGACGCTTTCCTCGGGATCGACCCAGACATCTCTTTTCACACCAAGAAGCCAGCTGTATTTGTTGAAGGCTTAAGGAAGCGCTTAAATTTCGCTTACAGAGTTGCTAGTCGTGAGGCGAGACGTCAAGCAAAGCGGCATAAGAAGCGCTACAATCTTCGTGTTCGGGAAGTACGCCTTGTTCCAGGTGACCGTGTATTGGTTAGAAACGTTGGTCTAAAAGGTAAGTGAAAGTTAGCTGATCGTTGGAGTAAAATATGATAAACAAGATCAACAAGGAAAGGCGGCGTTCAATAAAACTATCTACATTGTAGTTGATCAGCCTAACCTAGATTTACCTATATTTCAGGTTAAGCCGGAAGATAGTAATAATACACCAAAGTTACTTCACCGTAATATGCTACTTCCGTTCATGGGTCTCCCGCTACAGGAACCGAAACGAGTGTCACCTCATTCTCCCAGTATTGGCAATTTTCAGCGAAATTCTCCTGTCAATTCTCTTTTTTTTTTCAGACACAGCAGCACCTAAACCTTCTGAGTCTTCGAGTACTTCCATTAAAACCTCTATTTCAGACAATCCATCAGTCGTATCTCCAGAATCCGATAAGTATGTGATTCCTGCAAGACGGCCAGGAAATAGTTTGTTAAGACCGGAAGCTCCACCTTTTATTCCACGAAGAACTTCTAGAGTAAGAGAGAAGCCACGCTGGATGACTGATGATTGGAATTTGAGTAGGAAACGGTAGTACAGATTCTCAGACAGATGTCAAATTTGATTTTGTCATTTTTTGTAAATTGTTTTATAAAAGATGAGAACAATAAATTGTTTCAGTTGAGTTTTGTATAATCTTAATTTCAAATTATCAGTGTTGGTTTACTGATGTTTGAGACTAGTGTTTATTCATATGTATTATCATATAAGTGTAGGGTTTCGTCATATATATAATTGTAAGTATGGTTTGTATTTAACCGATTTGTAAAATTTCTTCAAAGAAATTTGTCAAATTTTATTTACTCTGAAAGAGTTACTTTGAATATTGTGTAATAAGAAAACATAACACAAGTTCTACAGTTTTGTAGATGAGTCAGTGTACTAACGTGCATGGTTCACAATCCCCAAAGAACGCGTTCACCATTCCCAACAGTGCTTCGGGCACTTTTCTGGTTGTTAATGCCTTACAGAATTTTCAAGCAGTATATATTACCTTAATTGGTAATTTCATTGTTAGGACAGAAGTACTTTAACCATTCCCATGTCCTTAGTATAAGTTCTACTGTAGTTAGACAGTATGGTTTTTGATACATATGCAGGTATCAGTAATTTTTGTTGATGAGTTGAAAATGTCGGGACGCCATTTTATCCTTGGCGGGGAAGTATGTCACAGGGTCATTTTGTCTTTGCTAGAATACTCTGTAATTCATACCCATACTCTATATCATTCCCCAATCGTCTCTTTTTCAATCATTCATATCATTATCCAACTTCATACTAGTAACTTCATTTGACCTGTAACGCGTTGACGGGCCTCATTCACTTCATTTTTAACTTCGGTCACGCTAACCGTTACGCATGCGCACAAGAAATGAGAACTTTTAGCGAGAGCTGTTGTTTTTCATTGACTCCGTATTTCTATCTTATTGTGTGCCAACAATATATTTACAGGTATATTTGAGGTTATAAAACATTGTAAACATGAATTACTATGATATGTGTATGTATTTCACTTGGATTATCAATAGCACAAGAAATGAGAACTTTTAGCGAGAGCTGTTGTTTTTCATTGACTCCGTATTTCTATCTTATTGTGTGCCAACAATATATTTACAGGTTCCTCTTTTTTGAACGCCCAATCCTCCCGAGTGAGAACTCACGTATATCCGTGACATAACAAATATTAAATATATATTCAAATCAATAACAACAATGTTTGATAAAACATAATTGTTTTTGGCTTCTTGTGATATATTTGTGTACATTAGGTAATTATATGCATTAAATAGAGTTAAAAAGGGGTCTATTGATGACCATTATATTATGCATAAATTGCTTCAAATCGAGCCACAGATATAATGGCTAAAGCATATCCGATTGCTTTGAAGATCAAAAAAGTCAACAAAATATCCTGATTTGACATCTAAAATCTCTAGATGAGAAATAATGAGGAGAGAGTTATATATTGATTAAGTCGATGACAAGACATAAGATAAAATATCATGAACGGATTTATTGTATTTGCTTAATGTTGTCAGTCATTTGGAGTGAATGCATTTGATGGGGAATAAAATGAATATTTATCAATTGTAAAAGTTTATTCTGAGACATAAGTATTTATCTTTTGTATTTCGCTTACTAAAATACTGTCGCATCAGGAAATAGTAAATAAGAAGTATTAGAATTATGGTCTTAATTATGGATTTATTAAAAGTCGTTTCCTGGAAAACAAGACTATAATAAACAAATTTAAACTTAAGACAGAAAACATCAACTTAATAA